GAATTGATTCGTCTACAGCAGCTATAAAAATGTTTATATTCGCTGCTAGCTCAAGGGAAAGCATTACTACACAATGAATTATTTATTAAATATATACTGCAGTATGATTTTCTATGCCCAATTGTAATTAAAACTAACAAGCAATTTTCTGTGGCTAAACTGTATTACAATTAACATATTTGAGTGCACCGTTAACGACACTAAACACAATAGTAATTACAAATTTTTAGTTATTTAGTTATTAAAACGACTATTTATAAGCGATTTTTATGTCTTGATCAAAAGACTTACTGACTTGCGTTAAAAATCTCCAGTTTTAATGATAAATCAAAACCGTTTTTGATTTAACACTTTGAAATCATTGACGTTATAACATAACGAAAGTCAGTCTTAAGACTGATTAGACACGCATCTCCACATTTTCCTGTCCTGAATTAATCTTCAGATTTGCGTAAAACTAGAACAACCCACATCCCTAATTATTTGCGAATAGTAATCTAATCTAAGTCTACCTCTACCCCTCATAACTCCCGTTTCTGTCTCTAATACGTCTCTGACCAAACCTTCAAGCCTGAGAAGGTATCCTACTAACCTATCTCGCCTATTTCTTATTGACTTCCAAAGAATCCTCTGTTCTCCTATTCCTTCTAATACCTCTTCATTCTATTCCTTCCGTCCTGATTTATCCAAATTCCTAGATACCTAAAATCGCTCTTTCCCTACTTTTTCTTCCCTTGTATACCAGTATTCTTGTTTTACTTTTATTTACTCTTATACAATACTGTTTTATCAATACCGCTTCCATTTCATTTAAAGCTATCTCTAACTTCTCTTTGCTAGATGACAATAGTGCTATATTCTCTGCAACTCTAAGTATACTAATCTTTCACCCCTAAATGACTTAGAGAGAGAGAGAGAGTTAAAAAGGTCAGGCAAGGTTACAGATTTCTTTCACATTCTAGCACTGTCGTAATATCGAGCCACTTAACTTTATACGTTAACCGCTAGATGGTTCTAACTCAAATATGTGCTACAAACTTTATTTGGATTACAAACTGAAATTTAGCAAACGAATGCACCTATGAAATTTTATTGTAACCACAGCAGTTATACTAATTATTGAACCTTGGTCAAATCGTTAATAACAACTTAAAAAAAAATGATCAAATAGACAATTATTGAGCGAAAGCATACGTTTTGGTGATAATAAACTTGTATCGAAGTAAGGTCAACCGTTACAATATCCAACAATTCTAGTTGATTATGTTTGTTGTTAGTACACTTGTTGTCGTCTAACAACTTTCAAACACAATAGGATGTATTTCATTATTTTTTTTTCTGATTAGGTATTCTGTATATAGTTAAACAAAAAATACTGGATTTGGTTCACCAACAAAACAGCAGCAACTCTAATCTATCCACATCTCTCAATTAACAATTGTAAATTATTTAATTGAAAAATCGTTAGGTATTCAAATGCATTGTAAAATGGTTAATTTATTTGTATTGTATAAAGTTTCCATTCATAATCTTTCCATTGATGCAGGAGCTAATGAAACGACAGTAGAAAATTGTCTGAAGTCAAATCGTTAAATTTATTTTACTACTTTTCTAAGAACAGTAAAATTAGTTAAACACTTTGGCGAAATTCCATTGGGAATTGTAAGCAAATACAATGACCCTTCTTACTAGGTGTTTTATGAGAATTACTAATTACATGTGGAATTTTAATTAGGAATTTTGAAAGAAAACTTTCATAAATTCACGAAAATAACTTAACCATTTGCTTTCATTTTTTCGGTCATTACCGTTATTTGTAATAAATTAAAATACGTATTTGTATAAAAACGAAACCATAAAAACCACAAAGGTCTCCGATGGTTTTCCCGCGGTTTATCAAAAATACGTTCAAAACTAACATTCTCTGTTTTCTTATTTTTATGTCTTATATAAATAGACTTTCTAAACAATTGATTATTACAGCAATTATCTATCTGAAAACTTCCAAAAGTAGAGTTAACTGATTCAATATAAAAAAGGGCCATTTTTTGGCATTTACTGAATTTTTTAAATGCATCTACTCTTTGTCTGAAGTGGTACTTCAGACTGAAGTATTCGTTCAATTAGATTCAAAATCAAAGTTAGTGTCGCAATGTATACCATTATGTCTTTATTATTTATTCAAATCAGAGCAACTTGAACCAATTATAACCTAGTTTCACCCGCTTTTTCATCTCTATTATTTCACGTTTCTACCATTCGAAAGATTACATTTTAGCGTAAATCTGTTATCTATTGTTAACGCCATATATTTACCACCTTTGTTTAAATTTCATTATCATTTTATTATAAACAGCAGTTAGACTACTGTAAATATGTTGTCAGTGAACAATTATTATTTATAATACCTCACAATGGAGTTAAGAGATAGCTTCTTAATCACAGAATGTGTTAAAACCTTGCAGATAATTGTTTCTGAAACTGTTACTTTTTAATCTGAAGGTGCAAGAACACACAAAACGACATATGATAAGCATTTACGACAACTAGTTAATCTGGCGCAACTACTTTATAAACTTCCTTAATTAAACACTTTAATTATTATCACAAAATGCAAAACCGCAAACTAATGAAATCAAAAATTGCATTTTCATACTTCTTCAGTCTAGTCATCAGTTTTTGAAATGAAATCCAACCCAATTAAAATTCTTTGATCAAAAATGGTTCAAATGTTAAATTAATCATTAAAAAAAAACTTACCATCACGTCTGGTTGCAGTAAATTCATAAATTCGGTGGTAATGTTCCATCTGTAGAGCGTAAACCACGCCGTTCCCGTATAGGAATCCCCGGCGTTCAAAAAGAGCACCTTAGGTCCTGTACCTTCTGCGGCTTTTTTTCTGGCTTGTCTCACCACATGGGCAACCCTTGCAAATCCCCCAACACACGTTTCGTCCTTGCCAGGTTCACTACACGTCGCGCCGATCCTCGAGGTCTCCTCAAACCTCGCGTGCATGTCATTGGTATGAAGAATAAGAAAGTCAAACCTTCCAGCAACGGCCCAAGTTTCGGTAACAACAATTGCCACAATTGTTAGAAAAAATGAACATCGTCGGAGATTCATCATTGAAGTTGTGAAGTTTTTCCAATCGCGAAAAATTTGCACGTGGTCGCTCACGGCTGACGCGATGAAACTTTTGCCGGTAACAATCCACGAACGCCCCGAGTGAATACAGTAATAACAAGTGAGTACAGCGGAATATATGTATGTGTTGCACAATCGGCAGTTAAAATGTGCACAACACACTTGGCTATATTTTTAAATGCCGCCGACAGAAATAATAATAATAGTAACAACAATTACAAAGCAATTCTGACGTTGTTATCTCCGGCTAAAGCACGTTTCAAATTATTCAGGCTATTAACGATTGGCATTAGCCACTCCAATTATAAACGAAGCGACCTACAGCACCAATGAACTTGAAGAGTCGTTCGTCTGACTTTTAAATGTAGCCACCACCGTGGATCGTGGCAATCCATCAAGTTTTTCTGAAGCAACGCATACATGTATTCACTTAAGGAGAACAACAGGTAGAATGGTGATGGTCAGTTAAATGGATCTAGACCCATGACCAATCACGTGCGAATGCCTTTAGACACCGATCTGCCAATATTTTATATTAACAGCACACGTTTCAAAAGAACACAATCCTCAACGTCTAAATTCAAAGTTGAACTTTTTGAAACAGAATCTGAGATACCTGAAAATTGCTATTAATATATTTGTTCCGACCCTGTCCATGATAGTTTGCCATAAAAATATCAATTACTCATTAGCGGTAACCGCCTATTTCCTGATATCAAGAATTTCCGTTAGAAATTCCTTCAAATACGCCCCTGAACAACTTTAGGCACAGTATATTCCAATTACTAGTTCAAAATCGTATAATTTAATCGTAAGTTAATCAATACGGTTAATGAATTGAGTTATGGTTTAAAACAGGAAAGTGAATTTAATATCGAAAAGTTCGTCATGATTTTCTTTATTTTGATATCTTGTCAAGTATGTCTTTAAAACCAAAGATTTATATAAAGAAAGGGGTTTTTAACATATGTAGATGAAAATTCGGGCCATGTACTCAACATAAATTTCGCTCCAAAAATTTGATTGGCGATAAAATAATAATAAATCTAATCCAAATGGATTTAAGTGACATCTATCCCCATTATCTCACCCAGCCTTCTGACACGCTACCGAAACCGAATATTCATTACATCACTTTCACCTAATTTCAATGCTACTTTTTTTGATTTTGAGGACCACTTGGACTACTCCTGTTTATTGGTTTCCATTTATGATCCAAATTGTTACTTTTTTTGCCAACATGCACCCATAATAAAGCAAACTCTTGAAACTGACCGTGAACCAGATTTCTTATGATTTGAAGAAAGAGTGGGAAGATGAAGAGGGAATACCACTTATTAAGGACCTATCTGATGTGAGATAAAATTGGTATTATCATCCTTAGCAAATGAATTACTAATTACCTAATACTTTTTAGTTTTTTTATAATTCTCTTGTGTCCACCTAACTACGCATTTTGAAAGCAAGTTGTTTGCCAAATAACTTAAAATATGTCCTCAAATTCAATTTATTACTTAAAGCAAAACGTTGCTAAATAAGCTAACGTCAAAGTAATTTGGTAATTAATTGAAATTCCAACTAACTAATACTTAATGTATTTACATCTTCATTACGAAATGTACGTAAACAAAAGTCCTTATATTAATTGTAAACAAAACCATAAATAAAATGTTTTCTCACAGTCAAGTTGAACAGTTTCTAAACAATTGCATAATTTCTTATCACGTCAAGCTTCTTTGCAATGTGATAAATCGACAACGTAGTTTTGATTTCCTCTACAAATTGATAACATTGGTGACATAGTTATATTTCACAGAAACAAATCATTTTCATCGTCTGTTGTAACATATTTCAAATTTGCATTGGTATTTAAAACAATGTGTTGACAAAATTTGATCGCGTTGGTAAACGTCAACTATTTTATTTATTAATTTTATCAATTTAGCAGGTATCACTGCAAGAGATAAAGTAATATTCAGTTATGATTCTGAGAATAAAAAGTCAATTCATAGAAATCTTTAATATTACATTAAAGTCAAACAAGCGCAGTATGGGCAGTCAGATTACATCTAAATTGGTTTTTCAAAATCACGGACCTCCAGCAAGTGTTGTGAAACTTGTCGATGAGCCCATAACCCCATTAAGGCCGGATGAGGTATTGGTCAAAATGCTAGCAGCGCCGATAAACCCGGCAGACATTAATACTATCGAAGGGGTGTACCCATCAGAGCTAAAATTACCAGCAGTTCCAGGTTTCGAAGGGGTAGGTAAAGTAGTGAATGTGGGAGATAATATAAAAGAACTAAAACCAAACGATCACGTTGTACCGTTGAAGGAAACGTTAGGAACTTGGAGAACTTATGCAAAGTTTCCAGGTCACTTGTTACTAAAAGTTCCCAAAGATTTAGGTATCGTTCAAGCCGCCACTCTCATAATAAATCCTTGCACAGCGTACAGAATGTTGAAGGACTTTGCAAACCTTAAACCAGGGGATGTAATCATCCAAAACGGTGCAAATTCTGCCGTTGGTCAGAACGTTATACAAATAGCAAAAAGAATGGGACTGAAAACGGTGAACGTAGTCAGAGACAGACCGGAAATTGTAGATCTGAAGTGCACATTAAAGAATCTAGGTGCGCATACTGTCCTTACTGAAGAAGAAGTCAAAAAAACGGATATATTCAAAAAAAGTCTTCCCAAACCAAAACTTGCTTTGAATTGCGTCGGTGGTCAAAATGCGTTAGAAATATTGAAAACCCTTCAAGAGGGTTGCACCATGGTGACTTATGGAGGAATGTCGCGAAAGCCGGTAATTGCACCAACATCAGCACTAATCTTCAAAGACGTTCATGTTAAAGGCTTTTGGGTTACTTCATGGAATAAACAAATGTTCAAGAGTAAAAAGTGGCTCCAAATGTATAATGATTTGATCAATATGATGCTTAAAAAGGAACTGAAAGTGCCAAGTCACAATTTTATACATTTTAAAGGCTATAAGGAAGCTTTAGAAAAGGCTGTTGATTCAAAAGGATACCAAAAGAAATTTATTCTAAACTTTGATTGATAAGTTTTAACGGTTTGGTTTTTTTTAATAGTTTTGGAAATAACATCTCTTCTTTGGTGATATGAATGTTTAGAGAACTGCACGATTTGAGTGAGTAGTTATCTGGTATAAGTCGAACACGCGACCAGATAACATATTATGAAACAAATAAAATCAATCTTTTAAAGTATTTGTTTTTAACGAAACAAAGTTCTTTAAAATGGACTTTCAATGCTCCAGCATAAACAGATCAATTTGTGTATGACTTTTACAAAGTCGTAATAAAATTACTGCACACAAACTGCAGCCAGCATCTTGATAGAGAACTGCACGATTTGAGTGAGTAGTTATCTGGTATAAGTCGAACACGCGACCAGATAACATATTATGAAACAAATAAAATCAATCTTTTAAAGTATTTGTTTTTAACGAAACAAAGTTCTTTAAAATGGACTTTCAATGCTCCAGCATAAACAGATCAATTTGTGTATGACTTTTACAAAGTCGTAATAAAATTACTGCACACAAACTGCAGCCAGCATCTTGATTTTGAAGTGAAAGAAGTAGAAAAAATTATTAATACTCTAAAGTTAAATAAACCGTTGGTGAAAATATTAACAACATTTATAATTTCGGTTGACATAGACATCATAGAAGATAAATATTCCACCAAATCACGACAATCCTGAAGTGGAAGAGGTGGGTAAAGTACTTCTGGTAGTTCCAGATGTAAAACATCTAAATATTGGAGAACTTAGATCGCATTTGTAGGAAATTTCTTTATCAAAATCCTTCAAATCTAGACCATACACAAGCTGCTACTGTTACAATAAGTCCATGCAGATCATATCGGATGTTAGAGGATCTTGCTGAATTAAAACCTGGGAATGTCATTGTGCATAATGGAATAAAACTCTGCTGTTGGTCAGTATGTTACCGAGATGATAAAAACAATGGAATTAAGAACAATGAATGTGATCAGAAGCAGGTGAGAGATTGAAGGTTGGTAGTTGAAGAAACATATATACGCTAAGTAGTATTGGTGATCAAACTGAGCTACAAATATTGAAACATCTTCAAAATGAATGTTCAACACTCACCAATATCAATCTCATACATTCCTATTGTATGATTTTCAGTAGATAAGCAGCATTTCCAAAATATTTAATAGCAAAGAACGTGTTTTAACGTATTCAATGAGATCATTATCACGATGACCAAAAACGACTTATCAGTTCCTTTTGGGAAATACCCCTTGATTCTAGAAAAGACAATAAGACCCTACAAATTTTGAATAGGACTATTTTGCAGTACCTAGTAAATTTTTTGTTGGAACACATTCTGAAATGCAATACTGTTTCGCTATCACATCACAGATAGCAGTCTAAACAGGTTACTTAATGTTTGTATTCACCGTTTCCACATCATTGCTGTAAGTTAACATTGACTCATTCTGATCGAAATGGCGCATCATACGAATACTTTGCTTGTACTTAATATCGGAAGCGAAATGGTTTTTGTTGTTGCCCAGCGACTTGCGGCCCAAAACATTCCAATGGATAAATCAGCCATCGGTGAGGAACCAATTTGAAAAGAGCATGTTGCATCTTCAAAAATAAATGTGCTTCTATGCCCAAAAACTCAAACACTAGACAATATGTATCAGAAATTGCACATTTAAACGTTTGCAAATTTAGTTTGGCTTTGTTCTTGCCACAACATATCTGACAAGAGTATTATTTCTTCTTGCAGTTCTGAATGAGATAATTTCAATGCTCGTTTCTTCGGAATTAATTGCAGACTTGATGAAAACCGCACACGAAATACTTTCACCAAAATCAATTCGTTCGATCATTGAAAGAATAAGTCAGTCGTCGATCATGAGAATGGACGACGTAAGTAAGCAGAAACTTTGGGACCTGATAACAATGGTGTACAAATGGCAAGTAAATTATTCATCAGACATCATTAAACTAACGCATCGACACCTTTACGAAATAGAAACGTTTGTAACACACCCAGAAACCCACAAACAACTCCACGAAGTGCAGAAACTCATAGAAGATTTTGAACGACTTTTAGATCCCAATTATAAAAATTATTTGAGGAGGAGTATTGAGAATTGGTTGAAACCTTGTAGCGTTAGAGTTTCATTACTTCTGAGATTGGGTTTACAAAACTTTGATACTACTTTCGTCACCAAAACTCAAAATGAAAAGGCAATACGAATGTTTGAAAACCTAGGGGAGAGTATTTATTCCATTGATGAAAAGGGGACATCAGGAACTTATGACGAAACAGAAATATCTGAACTGAATAACAATGATTCGGGACAATTGCAAATGTTTGTGGATCAGATATTAAACTATGATGATCAAAGCAGTATCCAGCAAAGAAAAAGTTCATTGAGACTCAAAATAAACGATGTTCCAGGGAAAACTCCTTATGCCAACACTAGAACATTTGAAAATATCAACGTGCAAATTGAAAGAAACAAAAATATAGATTTTGTGAATTCAGAAACACAGGAAAGCAGTTCGGATGAGAAGAGTTTTACTGAAGAACTCCTCAAAATTATAGAAGAAGGAGATGAGAACCATGATCAATAAACCATTACTTGACGATTTCCTTCAGCAAATCGAAAATGTCATTCAAAAACAGCAATTCAGAATCTATAAATAGTCGAATACAAATGCAAATGAAGAACTTTTATAGAGAATGAGATATTAATTGCACTGACATCTCACACATGAAAGGATTATGTGAATGAATTGCCTGTTTATTAATTAAACACTAGTATTTTTTGTGAGTTAAACATGTACAAGCAATTTCCCAATAAATATGTCCCATTGTCTATCTAGAATGCTCCTCTTTGCCTTTTTCCAAGAGACGCCTATGTGTTCATAAAAATGATTTGACGTTTCATAACCTAATTGAATTCAACAGTTTTTTGAAAATATTAGCTGCATAAACATGCCTCTTTCTATTGTTTATTAAATAATAATCTTACAGTAAGTTTAAAGTCATTTAAGCTGCAAAAATGCCTTTTACAAGGGCAGGGATATCATTAGTACGAGCTCTTAAACATAATCCAAACAAGTCGAATTATATTTTAACCTCACAAATACGAACTTATAGTGGAAAAGCAACCAAACTTCTTTATGAAGATTATGGAGAACCAGCCAAAGTAGTTAAAGTAGTAGAAGAAACCTTAAGTAAAGTGAAACCCAATGAAGTACTGGTCAAAATCCTGGCTGCACCAGTTAATCCGGCTGACATAAACACCATTGAAGGGAAGTACCCATCAAAGCCAAAACTACCAGCAGTTCCAGGAAATGAAGGGGTTGGAAGAATTCTAGAGGTCGGGTCTGATGTCACAAACCTTGCTGTTGGAGATCATGTTGTACCATTGCAACAAAATTTGGGCACTTGGAGAACACATGCAGTTTTACCAGCTGAAGCTTTCCTGAAGGTACCACTTGAGCTTGGCCTTGTCCCAGCTGCCACCCTTACGGTCAATCCATGCACTGCATTTCGTATGTTAAGGGACTTTGTTGATCTCAAACCAGGAGATGTTGTCATTCAAAATGGAGCTAATTCTGCTGTAGGTCAGTTCGTGATACAGATAGCCAGAACTTGGGGCATTAAAACTGTAAATATAGTTAGGAATAGGCCAGAAATTGACAAATTAAAGGACTATTTAAACTGTCTAGGGGCTTCTGTAGTTCTTACAGAAGAAGAACTGAGAGCAACAGACATTTTTAAGACAGAAAAGTTTGCAAAACCAAGACTGGCTTTGAACTGTGTTGGTGGAAAAAGTGCAACAGAAATAATGAGACATCTTCAGAATAGTTGTCCCATTGTTACTTATGGCGGCATGTCCAGGGAACCAGTTACAGTAGCTACTTCAGCCCTAATTTTTAAGGACATACAAGTAAGAGGATTTTGGATGTCTGCTTGGAGTAAAAAGAACGCAACTTCTGAGGAAAGATTCGAAATGTTTGATGAACTCATATGCATGATGGTCAATAAGGAGTTAAAAGAGGCAGAACATACTTTGATATCCTTTAGTGATTATGCTGAAGCATTGAAAAATACGTTGAATCCCAAAGGACAAGGAAAAAAATATATTTTAAATTTTAACACTTAACAATAAATGGCATTGAAATGAAGTAAATGTACGTGGAGCAGTTTATAAAGCATGTACACTTAATGATTGTATTATTTTTACCTACTTGTATATTTTATTAATATATGTATTTACTGTAAATTTGAACAAATATATTGAATAAAACAAACATGAAAAACAAAAGGATTTATTTTTTGAACTTCTCACTTATTAATTAAAGCAAGAAGTGACGTTAATTTACACTTCATTAAGGTCTTAATATACCGATTAATTTACTAACAATAAATGAAAACATTTTAATTTGAATATAAACTTCATTAGAAATCATTTCATTTAGAAGCTACTATCTTCGCTACTATTCAATGGATAGCACCACTGAACACGTTGAGATTATATTTTCAAACAAACACCGCAGATGACGCTGCGAGAACGTTTATAAATGAATATAAGTATTTGAATATAGGTACTTTCCCTGCATTACTTTTTAGTAAAATATATCGAATAATTTAAACTAAAAAAACCGCTCACAAAATTATTTGGAGATAGAAGGTATTTATTAAGCTTTAAGAAGCGTTAATAAGGTAAAAAGGTACGCAGAATCTCATGGTGTCAATGGTTTCCATGTGCGGTGTCAAAAAGGTACCTTTCGCTATTACTATTGTTAAAATATGTATAGAATGATTTAAATTTAAAAAAAGCGCTCGTAACAGTATGTGGAAATGGAAGATATTTATTAAACTTCAAGAAGAGATAATTATGTAAAAAGATACGCAGAATCTCATGGTACCAACAGTTTTCACGTGCGACACCAAATAGGTACTTTTCAGCATTATTTTTGATAAAATATATAAAACGATTGGAACATAAAAAAGCGCTCCTAACGGTATGTGGAAATGGAAGATATTTGGTAAACATTAAGAAGCGTTAATTAGGTAAAAAGGTTCGCAGAATCTCATGGTGTCAGTGGTTTTCAAGTGCGGTGTCAAAAAGGTACCTTTCGCCATTACTAAAAAAGCGCTCGCAAAATTGTTTGGTAATGGAAGGTATTCATTAAACTTTAAGAAGCGATAATTATATAGAAATGTAGGCAGAATCTCATGGTGAACAATTCCTAATTATTTACTTTTTTTTTTCAAAAATATTTTAGATCAATAAACAGTAGCGAGTTTGTGTTCTTTTGTTGTCAAAGTCAAAATGTGTTGTCTAAAATTGTGACAAAAACGCAAAATATCTAAATAAAAATAAATAAATAAGAAAATGTCCAATCCAAAGATGGTTTCAAATGCACAAAGGAAAAACAAAATAAAATCGGCAGAATTAGAGGCTGACTTGGACCGATTGGAAAAAGAGAGGAAAGGGGAAATTAGAAATTACAACACTATAAAACAACGATTTAAAGCTAAGCATGCAAAACTCGATTATTATGCGGGAAAAGCTGAAGATGTGAGATAAAAGATATCATTTTTAATACTTAAGTTAATATGTAATAAAAATAATCATAGATTCCCGAAGTTAGAATGTACGAAACACATAATCCAGGTTTTTGTTATAAACGAAATGGAGAATGTAGGATACCACAAATGTCAATATCTGCGCCTGTAGTCGACTATCAGGTAGTATTACAGAATTTTACACTCTAAACTAACAGAAAGCATCTCGTATGTTCATATGCAAATCAGAACAATAATTATTTACTGATACATGAAGCGTGCAATAAGCCTGATAATTCTACACCTGCTAGGAAATGTCTCCGAGGTTTTGTACAAGAAAAGAAACGAATAGTTTACATAATTTATTATCACTTCCTTTCGGATGTATAATTCAAATTAATCAAGTACGAAATGCACTTATGTAAAATATTCATTAGATTAATTATTACTTGAAAAGAGTGACTGAACATCGCCGTAGCGTAGTTCGTAAAACAACCGGCTACAAACAAAAGGGTTGTCGGTTCAAACCTCACCCAGAGCGATTATTAAAAAAAAGTGCCCTAAGTGAAAAAAATGGTATCTAACTGCTGGGTAGGGGCTACTGTGGTGTATATATATCATCATCATAAGGTCGTCAGTCCTAAGACTGGTTGGACACGTACCTCCACTCTTTCCTATCCTGAGCTAATTTTCGCATTTCCCTAAAACTAGAACAATCCACAGCCTTAACTATTTGCGAATAGTAATCTAATCTAGGTCTACCTCTACCCCTCCTACCTCCCGTTTCTACCTCTAATACATATATCTCTAACTAGACCTTCATGCGCGAGAAGGTGTCCTACTAACCTATCTCGCCTATTTCTTATTGACTTCCATAGTGTTTTGTTCTCCTATTCTTCCTAATGAGTACCTCTTCATTTCTAACCTTTTCTATCGATGTTATCCTCATTATTCGCCTGTCACAACACATTTCGAAAGCATCTAAACCTTTTCTTTTTCGCCGCGCCCACTGTCCATGTTTCGCACCCGTACAGCGCCGCGCTCCAAACACACCCTAACAACTTTTTTCAAATTTTTAAATTAATCGTTCGTGATTTCTTTTTATTAAAGGCGATTCTATCCTGCGCTATCCTCTGCTTTATATCCCTACTACTCCTTCCGTCCTAACTTATTTGACTTCCTAGATACCTAAAATCGGCCACGGGGGTTAAATACGAAGTACAAAAAGGAGAACTACCTAAACGAGCCAAAAAGTAATCGCACTGTCAAAAACTTAGAAAGCCTATAATATATACAATCTAATAAATGCACCCCTGCTTTTAGACCATACCATAACAATTTCCTCAGTTTCTATAAAACCTTAAAAAAAAAACAAATACAGTAATCCTAAAAAGCCCTCAAGGTCAAAAACTAAACAAACAATAAAAAAATATTTAAGGTCAATTTGTATATGCTGTAATACGGAGTACCTACCTACTCGACATTTTTGTGTACTACTTTCAAACGTTTCTCATTATCATGTTGTCACATCTCAACTTCTTTTACATAATCGCAAATATTTACCGGGAACATATGTAGATAGAGGACGTGTTGAAACAATTCCTCATCTGGCTATCTAGTCGCGAGCGTGAACTTGAATCAAATGTAAACACTTGCAAGATAGTATCTAGTATGTATACGCACAAGTGTTTAATGAATGCGTAACATTATCTTCGGCCGTTGTGTTTTGTGGTGTTACATGAAAAAGGTACACAGTTCATCAGTCGAACATATATTAACCATATAATAAAGAACGCTGGCACATTCTTTTTTCCCGTTATATACAACCGCACCGGTACATTATGTTACCAAAGAATTTGGGTCACTGCACAATTTATTGTACTTCTTTCGCCAATACCAAAAACCAATCAATTTATTCTAAACATTTGAACATATTTATTATACTCAACTTCTGGCATAGGTAAAGGTCTAGATGATGGCCCCCACCCTCGAAGGGGGAATCGAAAGAGGAGGTCTCCCCCACCACTGTACCATAAAAAGTTCGTGGCGGTCTCACCCCCATAAAAAGTTATGGGGGTTCAAAGTTACTAAACATACATAACATTATTTAAATATCTTTGTCAATAGGGTAAGTTAGGTTAGGTTAGGTTAGGTTAGGTCAGGTTAGGTTAGGTTAGGTTAGGTTAGGTTAGGTTAGGTTATCGGGTTTTGTTCAAGTGACCACCCTTTTTCGATCCCCCACCTCCACCCGCTTGGAAATATTTTTTTTATTGAATTTTATTTGAATTATAGTGTATGAAAATTGTCAAAATAATCAACTTTCAACCCCCATAACTTTTTATGGGGGTGAAACCGAAACAAATTTTTTATGGGGTTTTACTCAGGTGATCACCCTCTTTCGATCCACCCTACCCGCTTTCGACCTCCCTTCGGGGGGATCGGAAGAGGAGGTCTCCCCCACCACTGTACCATAAAAAGTTCGTGGCGGTCTCATCCCCATAAAAAGTTATGGGGGTTCAAAGTTAATAAATATGCCAATTTTTATACATTTCTAGGCATGTGAATATTTATATAGTCATTCTTAAACAATATTTAAAGGTAAAACTAATGAAAAATACATAAAAATATTGAGAAAGTTATATAAAACATTATTTAAATA